ATTTATAATAATATATAAATAATTGCTAATATAAAGACTACTACTTGCCATTTACGCCTACACTATTACATCGAAGAAGTCAATGCCTGGAGCTTAAAGCATATCATAATGTATTTACTTTATATGTATTTACTAAGAACCTGTTATATATATAGTGCTAATTTCAGATAAACTTCTCAGTGCATCAACACACTGTAGTTCAAAGTACACTGTAATGTAATTTGATATAATATAATGTAATTTACATCCCGCTGTAAGGCCAAACTTAACAGATAACAAAAGAAAAACAGGTAAACTCAGTTATTTTACAACCTCCCTCAAGGTTAACTATTCATCAAGAAAAAAGATCAGTGTAGAAAAGAAGGGCTGTTGAGTACAACGTTAATTACATGATTTAAACAACATTTCAAAATGAAAAAGAAGAGAGTTTATAGCTTATAGACACAGCTTTAAAAGTTTATACTTATTGAAATATTTATGGCAAGTATATTTAAGGTAACTATGTATTTGTATTATTCTGATTAGTTCGTTTGTTTGTTTTAATTAATCTTTAAAGGAAAAAGGCTTTTATTTTGAATTTTGAGACGATGTGTTACAGGAAGTAAAAAGCTGATTCTGGCTTCACGCTTCCTGATTGATATAAATACGCTCTGATGGATTATAATATTCAGTTCTTACTAGTATTTTCTTTTATATGAGTGTGTGTTGATTTACTGTTTAGAAACTGATACAGGAGGTATGTTACATACGTATGTCTTACTTGCCCTTTGTGTGTGCAGAAAGCACATTTTGTACTTTTAGAAATGGAGATGATAAGTCTTGTTTTCAATGTAAACTCTAGATGCGAGCTCCATAAGAGCTAATCAACAAGCACAATGTCAGTCTATAAAATCGGAAAGCTGTCAGCACATCATATTCCGTTTAGGTTGGTCTGTTACTGTAAGGTTGACTTTCGTTATGATTGGTTATGAGTGTTAATTGTTTGGTGGGGATGATTTAGTTTGTGTGTTTCTGTGCTATCATACTGACACTTATTATGATTTATGATATTTGTTATGATTAGGCACAAACCAGAAAACATAATTAGAGAACAATTACATTGCATCACAATACAAGCATGTTCTCAATGAATGAGAAGATAGAGTTTGAGTTGAGTTTATTCAGACTGTGTTCCTCTGCTTTTGTGGCAGGCGCCTGAAGCACAATGCCTTATTTTGGCTCGGAGGAGACGGTTAAAGAGCTCAAGCGAGCTCTGTCCAATCCAAATGTCCAAGCAGACCGTCTCCGGTACAAAAACTACATCACCAAAGTCATCAGGTCCGTGAAATTATCTTTTTTTTTTTACTGAAAGAGACAATTATCAAAAGTACAAATGAATAGCTTACCCAAAAATTTAAATTATCAGCTCACCCTCATATTATCCTGTGAAACAGAGATACTTAGCAGAATGTTCAAACTGCTCCTTTCCATACAGTGAAAGTGAATGAAATGCAATGAAATGGAGACTTGTTGTCAAGAACCAAAAGGACAAAAAGCACCAAACAATCACAGAAAACCTGGAAATATCAGCAATTTAAAATAGTGTTTCCAAGCCTGGAATAATAATAGGAAAATATTAATTAATTATAAATAAATAAATATTATAAATAATGCATCAGCTAGATATTGCTTGTGTAGTAGAGTGTGTAGAATATAAATTGTTTGCAAGAAATAGTGATGTGAACACATTGTTCCTGACACTGAATGAATCAGTTGAACTGGTTCACAAATCAGTTTGAATGATTTATTAGCAAATTCAATCTGAATTATTTCTTATCCATTAAATATTATCCGGTAATTGCAGGTTCATTGAAAAGTCATAAAAATCCTTGAGCAAAAAAGTATAATGAAGTAGTCATATATTCTAAGCCTTATAAAGCAGCAACTGTAAAGAAACAGAATAACATTCAAGTCATTATTCATTGTACTTTACAGCTTGATTTCCACCTTAACTCTTATTGTTAGTTAGACAGAACTAAATGTTGACAAATAAGACATAAAGCGATATCTGAGGCTGTTGTTTGTTTCTTTGTAGGTACATGACACAGGGTCTGGATGTCTCAGCTTTATTTATGGACATGGTGAAAGCCAGTGCCAAAGTGGATATTGTTCAGAAGAAGCTGGTATATCTGTACATGTGCACCTATGCCAGTGACAAGCCTGACCTGGCACTACTGGCCATCAACACGTTCCGTAAGGACTGCGCTGATCCCAATCCCATGGTGCGAGGGTTGGCCCTGAGGAACATGTGCAACTTCAGGTTTGTATGTTTTAAATAATTTATTTTCTTCTGTCTGCACTCAAACAATAAGCCTTGCAACACCCTAGCAACCTCCTGACCTCCCTTTAGCAATCACTTAGCAACACCCTTGCAACCTTTCAGAATTCTACAACAACCTAGCAACCCCCTAACAACCACCCAAGGCACCGTAGCAATCACTTAGACACCCTAGCAACCATTCAGAACACAACAACAACAGCCAAACAATGTCCCAGAACACCACAACAATCAGCCTAGCAACCCCCTAACATCCACCCAGAACATGGCAACAACATTCAAACAATGCCCCAGCAACAAACACTGCAACAGTCGGCTTCGCTACACAAGCAACTACCCAGGATACCTTACTGATCACTTAGCAACCTCCCAGGACACTGCAACAACATCTTAGCAACATCCTAACAAGTAATGCCCTAGCAACCACACAAGACCACCAACAACCACCAAGGCACCTTAGCAATCACTTAAACGCCCAAGCAACCATTCAGAACACAATATCAACAGCCAAACAAAGTCCCAGAACACCACAACAATCAGCCTTGCAACACCCTAACAAGCAACATCCTAGCAACCTCCCAGGACACTTTAGCAATAACTTAGCAACTCCCTTGCAACCATTCAGAATTCTAAAACAACAGCCTGACATCCATTCACGACACCGTAGCAACCCCCTAACAACCACCCAGAACACGGCAACAACATTGCCCCAGCAATAAACACTGCAACATTTGGCCTTTGCTACACTCAACACCCTAGCAACTTCCCAGGACACTTTAGCGATCATTTAGAAATAAACTAGCAACCTGCCAAAACACTGCAACAATATCTTAGCGACACCCTAACAAGTAACGCCATAGCAACCACACAAGACCACCTAGCAATCACCCTGGCAACCTAGCAACCATTCAGAACACAAAAACAGCCTAGCAACACTCTAGCAGCCATCACCCTAGCAACCATCCAAGACACCCTAGCAATCACCTAGCAACCCCTTAACATCCACCCAGAACACTACAATAGTCAAGCTATGACCCAGCAATGCCCCAGAACATCCTAACAAGCAACAATCTTGCAACCACACAAAACTCTGAAACAACACCCTAGCAACCATCTTAGGAATCACTTAGCAACAACTCAGAGACCATTCAAAACAAAACAACAGCCTAGCAACACCCTAGCAGTCACCTAGCAACAACAGACTAGTAATTTCCCAACAACGTCCCAGACAACCAATCAGAACACTCTGGAATCATGGTTGTGAGATTTGCATGAGCAGCTCCCCCACATTTTCTTCATGTGCATTTCTTCACACCCTTTAACTGTGTGAAAATCATGGTGTAAAACAGTCTACAGTGGAATATTTCTTCAATAAATACTAAGCTACTGTGTCTACCTGTCCTAATTGACATGCTTCCTTCTATTTGCTTGTTTTTCAGGATGCCAGGAATGACAGAGTACATAGAGCAGCCCATTGTTGCTGGTCTGCGGGACAAGGCCAGTTACGTAAGGAGAGTCGCTGTGCTTGGTTGTGCCAAAATGCACAGTCTGCAGCCCAACACAGAGATAGGTAGAGTCACGCATTCTGTTTATCTTAATTGTAATACTAGTTAAGGATAATGTGATGAATATTGCTTGCTTATTTTAATACATGTGCATAAAAAGTCATAAGCAGAGCGATTTATAATGTTGGGTCAGACAGCTCCCTTTAAAGGAATGTTTCTGGTGATTGTGATGACTAACAGCATGTCAAGAATTCTTAACTGAAAAGAACATATTTTCAACAGAACATATCACATACTTGTAGACAACCCGTTGGATTGTTGTTTTTGGTTGAAAACTAAAACCTACTAACTTTTCATCAAAAGCAGGGCAAAACCAGGAAATGTTGATCACAGTGCTTCTTAACAGCAGTACAGTACAGTGGCATTTCCTGTATTTCCTAAATGCGCAGCGTATTTATAGCCGCAGGGGCTTTGAATAGCCTTTCTGTAAGGGTCCAGTTAATGTTTTTATGTAATGAATGTAGAATGTCCCAAAATGAAAATTAGCGGAATGTGTATTCACCCTCAGGTCATCCAAGATGTAGATGAGTTTGTTTCTTCATCAGATTTGGAGAAATGTAGCATTACATCACTTATTCACCAATGGATGCTCTGCAGTGAATGGGTGCCGTCAGAATGAGAGTCCAAACAGCTGATAAAAACATCACAAGTAATCCACACCACTCCAGTCCATCAGTTAATGA